GCTAAGCGCTACGATTACAGCTTCAAACTCCGGCCTGTAATCTAACACGCGAGAACTGACCAATGAAATCTAAGAAGTAGAAATACCGGTAGAGGCTGTTGCTTGATTGACAATGTCAATCAAGAAAAGGAGGAGCTTGATGATATCGTTCTCTCCCAGTAAATTCGGATATCAAATGACGACGTTATTTAGATGGAAAAACGATGGTTTGAAAGCGTCCCAAAAACGTCGTTTTCCTGTCCAATAACCCTATACGGAAAATTGTTATGTGTTATGTATCGAACATAACATAGTTTAAGTGAGAGAATCCCTAGAATCTGTTAATTAGTGTTCGTTGATTTTACTCCCGGAATCAATAGATTATCATGATTTCTCCAAGTACTCAACCGAAATAAAGGTACTAATAATTCTTTGTGAGTAATCATCTAACGATCGCTGTACACCGAAGCACACTTTAGAGAGGACAACTGAAAGATATATTCTATAACGCACCAACACATTGCAAACAATGCAACATTCACGAGATGGTTTGCATATTATAAACATGGATATCATCACAATTCTTAGGTCACCGTAACATAGCGACTAGTGTACATGAGAAGAGCATTCAGGCGGAACACTGCGACAAACCAGTTGCATTCCTTGTCACAGCTCTCTCCATATCCAGTGTACCCACTGATCTGTATCGCGCGCAGATATGAGGTAACTCCTTCCTTACAGGGTTACGACCCCGTATCCAGGCTGCCATTTATGATACATTCTACTGTGTACTGTGAGTCACAGAGCTATACATTAGCACAGCCGTTCAGAACCATCTATGCAAATACTTTGTCTAGACATGTAACCCAAGATAACGCATTTCACAGTTCAAAAGTCATTGGGTGTGTTTAATATTATATGTCAACCAAAATACTTTTCACTAAAACTGCAACGTATGCTACAATACATTCTGATACAGTGTCATTTACAGCAAAATACAAGAATTAAAGTTCGATGTAGTCTAGAGTTATCGTCTGATACTTAATGTCACTGATGTTATTGTTTGTGAAGTAATTTGTATCAATTAGTCATTTTCACAGAAATATAAGTCAAAAAGTTTACTTCTCAACAGTCAAGCTATAGGCTACTGATGGGATGTGGGTTTTTCGCAATGAACAGAATAATCTATATAATTACTGTTTTGAATGCATGTTACGTGTGCCTATGTGCGTGTTATGAAAGCAGTATATTTAATATGGCATGTATGAAACCTATCATTTCAATTGCTAATTATGTATACAATGTACATGTAAATGTTGACCATTGAAAAGTCAACTTTATTGACATGTAAAGTGTGAGCACTGTTCAGTGTCTAACCTGTATCAGAATACCACAAGAACATTTGCATGTGTCTTCAGTCATGCATCTGTATTATTCTGGCCTGTGGTCCATTTTTCCGGAGTAGTAAACAAAAGATCTGTGTGTCAGACAACTAAAGAACGTTTTGTTCAGAACAGTATATAACACAACCAAGTTGACCTGTATGATTGAGATGCAAATCTTCCTATGCAATGGACTAATTCAAGAAGCAAAAACAATAATTCTGCATTAATAAGGAACGGCTATAGCAAATACATAATACACCCCTAGCATTTGCAAGAGCAGTTTTGTGTATGCCAACAATGCAAAAGAGAATATATACTATCCCCCCCCCCCCTACAAACACACACCCATTTGAAAACTTTTCCTTTATGACATCTTGGTGGCCCGTTAATAACAAAATTATTGTCAATCAATAGCTTATGATTATATGTCATTGCTGAGCATACCCATGGGTATTTCCCTCCTATACCACATTAAATCAATGATATATGCCCGTGAGCGGTGTCTGGTCTAAACGACATAATATTTCGAATAGGCACCGCAAAGCGAGTTAGAGTAATTTAAATGAATTTTAATCACAAATAGCCAAAGAATTGACGCCCCGATCAGATTAGTCGATCGATTTAATCCACGTTTTTAATACTGTGTATGCTGTAATACATACACATGTATTTAGGACCTGTGAAGATCCGGGATAGAATAGGTCTTCAGCAACCCATGCTTGCCCTAATAGGCGACTATGCTTGTCGTAAGAGGCGACTAATGGGATCGGGAAGTCAGGTTCGCTGACTTGGTTGTTGCATCTCATAGTATCCTAATTGCGGGAATCGATGCTCATGACGTCAATCACCGGATTGTCTGGTCCAGACTCGATAAATTACAGACCGCCGTCATAAAGCTGTAATATTGCTGACTGCGGCGTCAAACAACAAACAAACATATATTGTGACATTCATTATATGTAGAACCTTCGCGACCAAAGACAAATCCGAGAGAATCATATGAACATGATAAGATAGTACATTTGGAACAGTAAAGATAGAAATAACCTCTAGTTCAAATAATGATCATAGATTATCAATGAGAGAAGAGGATATATCTGTTTTAAATGTCACTTAGTCTTTGCAACCTACATCTGTGTTGATACTAGCCTGACATTGCATGCATCGTCCAGCCTAAGACATTCATAGGTGTTCTATTTCAACATTGTACGATTGTATTTATCGTAACAGGAACACTAGTTCGAGAACAAAAGTATTGTAGTCACATACCTTCACATTGTTGCATAATAATAGAGTTGAATAATAAATCACCTTAATGATTGTTTCACCCTGAATTTGGAAAATAGCAAATTCTGATTGGTCAATCAATGGTTTCAAATTACAACACAATCTCATTGAAACAGCTGATCAATATTTTGAAAGTAGCCGATTCTGATTGGTCAATCAATTTACAACAACCAACAGTGATTGAAACATATGACAGCCGTATCAACAAGTATTAAAACTATTTGTTGTAATAAACGTTGGAAAATAAACCAGACAGGCATTGACGGAGACCATTGAATCTGGTGCCTTTCTCTATTTGTCTTTCCGTCCACGAAAGGGACACGCTATATGCGCTTATTTCGGAACAAAATATGATTGAGTGAAAAGTCTAAATAATAAGAGCATTTAGCCTGTTGAAAACGTATTTAAGTTACAGACACCCCCTTTGAATCACATTGTTAACAACACGGTCAGTACAAATATCAACAGCATGTGGAGTTTGATTTTACCAGTGTTATTTTCGAAACATTTATGATATGCTATTTGATATGAACTTAATGGACCCCACTGCAAGCCAGGATGATCAACTGTTACTTATTCAATTTATATAAAATGCGGGAACACATATGGTGTAAAGTGTTTGTCTTCAAATAACCCCTTTCAATGGGATAAGTGAAAGACAAAAAGATAAAAAGTAAAGCATTATAAAACAGTTGACTGATAATAGATTCCCTTTGCCTAACTTATTGACAATTTTGATTTGATAAATCAATTTCTATGAAATTACGAGGTGAGGTACTTGGAAGCACGCAATGCTACGTGAGCATGAGTTCGGATGCATGAAGGCGGTTATAGTTAGAGTGCGATGGATGTAGGGGAATGATAGGAGGGTGTATGTAAATGTAACCACGAATAAGGTGAGGTGAGGTGAGGTGAAATGGGGGTTAACGTTGCGTCCAAGATTATTGCACTTATTTTGCGACGTGCATGTACGTGTGTGTGTTTGTGTGGCTGCATGTACTAGTCCGGACTGATGCCGACTTATAGTGCTAGCTCACTGAGATATCATACCGCAGTTTAACATGAATACCCCACTCAGACACAGTATACTGACTCCTAGCCTACCAGTCCTTGTTTTAGCCCCTAAGTGACCAGCGCCAGACAGGGTTACAACAAGTACCATCTTATAACGTCTTTTTGTATGACGCGGCTCTCCGGGCGGACACTCAATCACTAAACCACGGAGGCGGTCTATGAAATTAGGAACAGTTATCATGATGTGCATCCCGTATGACTGTTTAGAAGGAACTACTCACTGCACTTGTGTGTGGTAAATAATCTTGTTTCTCAAAGCTGACTCTGTAGGATATATTTTCTCAGGCAGCATGTGCGTCTGAAGAAAAAGTATTTTATGTATTAAAACACGATAAATACTCTAATTACTTTGATTACAAGTAGACTTTCACGAGGGAGCTAGAGATAGGGGCAAATTAAATTTAGTGGAAGTTTGGTTCGGAAAAATAAGAAATTATTTCTTTACAAATCTATAATCTGCACCATATGAAGCCAGAATAACAATGACATGTACGACAATGTCGTCATGGTGAACAATCTCTGAAATATTTTTAATTTGTCAAGCATTGTATTACTCCGACATAATGATCATGTGTTCTCATATCACAATGTGCGTATACAATATAATACCATATACCTATATTTACTGCTTTAAAAGACCCTACTCGTATGAACCACTAATGCACTTTAGGACGCGCTTTATATATCTCCTGTAACCCAACACCAACAACGATAGATCCCTCACACTGTACATGTAGATTCAGCTGCAACAAATTGTCAATACATGCACTCAAGATGAGAAGCTCCAAATTATATCACTCTGCATTAAGGACCACAATAATCAAGGCGTTGTAACAGATACAGTTCTTTCACTCAGTATTTTTCCTCTGTATATAGAGGGTTTTGGTATTTAGTGTTTCCGGGTATGTGTCACAATCTAACAACGTAAAAGGGTGTCATGCTGTGCAAGTATGAAGCCCAGCCTAGTTGTAAAGCGAGAGCAGGAATGTCTGGTTGTGAGCTAACACCAATATTCAGGCTACACGCTGTATAAATAAAGGTATAAGTACCACGTTCAACACCCTGATAGTGTCTTGGCATATACATGTAAGTTATGACACTGAATATCGAACAGGTATCTGTGTGTAGGGGGACAAATTGAGAGACGAGACACAACACACCTACCTGGACAAGTAACTTCCTTCACTGTTGACACGCAGTTCACCTCCATACAATATGTATGTGATGACTATGCATGCTTTGAAGTATTAACACATGTGAGGGTTCACTGAGACGTTCTAAGTCTCGCACATAAGGAAATGCGTTGCAGTGAAATTTGTTGTGGTGGACATTACATGATGTCATAGAGGTATATCCACAAGAAAACATTAGCCTACTTAGCAAAGTGTTTCACTGTGGTAAGTCAGTAACATATGTAGGGCTCTGTTAAAAAGGGCAAATTTAAAGAACGTGCAATCATCAAGTACTTGCAGAAAAAGGGCTTAAGACTCTAAACCTCCCACATGAATGACAATTTGACATGGAAATCGTTATTCCTCGTAAGATATTTGGGTGTCTCAAGAAGTATTGACTTCAATACTGTTTGCGTTTTTAGAGATGAAAACGAGTGCACACGGGGATTTTTACGTTTACATATCCACAAACGTACACCAATATATTGATGACAATTTATATAAATCAATACGTCAATATTAACAACTTCACTGACTGCTTAATTAATCATCAACAAAGAACGAAATTATTGATACAACATCGTACCAACCAGCGGTTGATACCGAACATACAACCAAGCATGTGGGAAGTAAACCAGTGGTTGTTACTGAACATACAACCCATCTCTTCGGAAGTAAACCTGTGGTTGATACTGAACATGCAACCCAAAATGTTGGAAGTAAACCAATGATTGATACTGAATATACAACGCAGCATAAGGGAAGCAAACCAATAGTCGATAATGAACATACCGTCAAGCATGTGGGAAGTAAAGCAATGGTTGATACTGAACATACAACCGTACATGTGGGAAGTAAACCAATGGTTGATACTGAAATATAACCCAGCATGTGGGATGTAAACCATTGGTTGATACTGCACATACAACCCAGCATATGGGAAGTAAACCAATGGTTGATACTGAACATACAACCCAGCATCCGGGAAGTCAATCAGTTGTTGATACTGAGAATACAACCCAGCATGTGAGACCTAAACCCATGGTTGATACTGAACATACAACCCAGCAAGTGGAAAGTAAACCAATGGTTCATACTGAACATAAAACACAGCATATGGTTAGTCAATCAGTGGTTGATACTGAACATACAACCCAATATGTGGGAAGTAAACCTATAGATGATACTGAATATACCGCCAAGCATGCGGGAACTAAACCATTGGTTGATATTGAACATACAACCCAGCATGTAGGAAGTGAATCAGAGGTTGATACAGAACATACAACCGAATATGTTGGAAGTAAACCAGTGGTTGACACTGAACATACACCCTGACATGTGGGAAGTAAACCAGTGGTTGATATTGAACATTAAACCCAGCATGTGGAAAAAAGTTAACGAATGGTTGATACTGAACATTAAACCAAGCATGTGCGAAGTAAACTAGTGGTTGATATTGAACATTAAAACCAGCAAGTGGGAAGTCAACCAGTGGTTGATACTGAACCTACAACCCAGCATGTGGGAATTAAGCCAATAGTTTATACTGAACATACAACCCAATATGTGGGAAGTAAGCCAGTGGTTGATGCTGAACATAGAACCCAGCATATGGTTGGTCAATCAGTGGTTGATACTGAACATACAACCCAATATGTGGGATGTCAACCAGTGGTTGATACCGAACATTAAACCCAGCATGTGGAAAGTAAACCAATGGTTGATACTGAACATACAACCCAGCATGTGGGAATTAAGCCAATAGTTTATACTGAACATACAACCCAATATGTGGGAAGTAAGCCAGTGGTTGATAATGAATATACAACCCAGCATGTGGGAAGTAAACCAATGGTTGATACTGAACATAAAACCCAGCATGTGGGAAGTAAACCACTGGTTGATACTGAACTTACAACCTGGCATGTGGGAAGTAAACCAGTGGTTGGCACTGAACATTAAACCCAGCATGTGGAAAGTAAACCAGTGGTTGGTAATTAACATACAACCCAGCATATGGGAAGTCATCCAGTGTTTGATACAAAACAAACCGCCAAGCATGTGGAAAGTAAACCAGTGGTTGGTAATTAACATACAACCTAGCATATGGGAAGTCATCCAGTGTTTGATACAAAACAAACCGCCAAGCTTGTGGGAAGTAAATCAGTGGTTCATACTGAACATACAACCCAGCATGTGGGAAGCAAACAAATGGTTGGTACTGAACATACAACCCAGCATGTGGGAAGTAAACCAGTGGTTGATACTGAACATAGAACCCAATATGTGGGAAGTAAACCAATGGTTGACACTGAACATACAACCTGGCATTTGGGAAGAAACCCAGTGGTTGGTACTGAACATACAACCCAGCATGTGGATAGCAAACAAATGGTTGGTACTGAACATGCAACACAGTACGTGGGAAGTAATGCAGTGTTTGAAACTGAACATAGAGCCCAATATGTGGGAAGTAAACCAGTGGTTGACACTGAACATACAACCTGGCATGTGGGAAGTAAACCAGTGGTTGATACTGAATATTAAACCCAGCATGTGGAAAGTAAACCAGTGGTTGATACTGAACATACAACCTAGCAGGTGGGAAGTAAGCCCATAGTTGATACTGAACATACAACCCAGCATGTGGGAAGTCAGCCCAAAGTTGATACTGAACATACAACCCAGCATGTGGGAAGCAAACAAATGGTTGTTACTGAATATACAACCCAGCATGTGGGAAGTAAACCAATGGTTGATACTGAACATAAAACCCAGCATGTGGGAAGTAAACCAGTGGTTCATACTGAACATACAACCCAGCAAGTGGAAAGTAAACCAATGGTTCATACTGAACATAAAACACAGCCTATGGTTAGTCAATCAGTGGTTGAAACTGAACATACAACCTAATATGTGGGAAGTAAACCAATAGATGATACTGAACTTACCGCCAAGCATGTGGGAAGTAAACCATTGGTTGATATTGAACATACAACCCAGCATGTAGGAAGTGAATCAGAGGTTGATACAGAACATACAACAGAATATGTTGGAAGTAAACCATTGGTTGATATGGAATATATAACCCAGCATGTAGGAAGTCAATCAGTGGTTGATACTGAACATACAACCGAATATGTTGGAAGTAAACCCATGGTTGATGCTGAACATAAAACCCAGCATGTGGGATGTCAACCAGTGGTTGATACCGAACATTAAACCCAGCATGTGGAAAGTAAACCAGTGGTTGACACTGAACGTACAACCTGGCATGTGGGAAGTAAACCAGTGGTTGGCACTGAATATTAAACCCAGCATGTGGAAAGTAAACCAGTGGTTGATACTGAACATACAACTAAGCAGTTGGGAAGTAAGCCCATAGTTGATACTGAACATACAACCCAGCATGTGGGAAGTCAGCCCAAAGTTGATACTGAACATACAAACCAATATGTGGGAAGCAAACAAATGGCTGGTACTGAACATACAACACAGCACATGGGAAGTAATGCAGTGTTTGAAACTAAACATAGAGCCCAATATGTGGGAAGTAAACCAATGGTTGAAACTGAACATACAACCTGGCATGTGGGAAGTAAACCAGTGGTTGGTACTGAACATACAACCCAGCATGTGGGAAGCAAACAAATGGCTGGTACTGAACATACAACACAGCACATGGGAAGTAATGCACAGTTTGAAACTAAACATAGAGCCCAATATGTGGGAAGTAAACCAGTGGTTGATACTGAACATACAACCTGGCATGTGGAAAGTAAACCAGTGGTTGATACTGAACATACAACCCAGCAGGTGGGAAGTAAGCCCATAGTTGATCCTGAACATACAACCTGGCATGTGGGAAGTCAGCCCAAAGTTGATACTGAATATACAAACCAATATGTGGGAAGTAAGCCACTGGTTGATACTGAACATACAGCCCAGCACGTGGGAAGTAAACCAATGGTTGATACTGAACATAAAACCCAGCATGTGGGAAGTAAAGCAGTGGTTCATACTGAACATACAACCCAGCAAGTGGAAAGTAAACCAATGGTTGATACTGAACATAAAACCCAGCCTATGGTTAGTCAATCAGTGGTTGAAACTGAACATACAACCCAATATGTTGGAAGTAAACCAATAGATGATACTGAACTTACCGCCAAGCATGTGGGAAGTAAACCATTGGTTGATATTGAACATAGAACCCAGCATGTAGGAAGTGAATCAGAGGTTGATACAGAAGATACAACAGAATATGTTGGAAGTAAACCATTGGTTGATATGGAATATACAACCCAGCATGTAGGAAGTCAATCAGTGGTTGATACTGAACATACAACCGAATATGTTGGAAGTAAACCCATGGTTGATGCTGAACATAAAACCCAGCATATGGTTAGTCAATCAGTGGTTGATACTGAGCATACAACCCAATATGTGGGAGGTCAACCAGGTGGTTGATACCGAACATTAAACCCAGCATGTGGAAAGTAAACCAATGGTTGATACTGAACATACAACCCAACATGTGGGAATTAAGCCCATAGTTGATACTGAACATACAACCCAATATGTGGGAAGTAAGCCAGTGGTTGATAATGAATATACAACCCAGCATGTGGGAAGTAAACCAATGGTTGATACTGAACATAAAACCCAGGATGTGGAAAGTAAACCAGTGGTTGGTAATGAACATGCAACCAAGCATGTGGGAAGTAAACCAATGGTTGACACTGAACATACAACCTGGCATGTGGGAAGTAAACCAGTGGCTGATATTGAACATACAACCCAATATGTGGGATGTCAAACAGAGGTTAACCTGAACATACAACCGAATATATTGAAAGGAAACCAATGGTTGGTACTGCAAATAAAAATCAGCATGTGGGAAGTAAACTAGTGGTTGATATTGAACTTTAAACCCAGCCTGTTGGAAGTCAACCAGTGGTTGATACTGCACATTAAACCCAGCATGTGGAAACTAAACAAGTGGTTGATAATTAACATACAACCCAGCATGTTGGAAGTCATCCAGTATTTGATACAAAACAAACCGCCATGCTTGTGGGAAGTAAATCAGTGGTTGAT